CCCCCAAAGCCCCAGTAGATAGTTGTATGTCATAGCTGCACATCCTTCTAGTTGCTGTATGTGGGACGCGGCCTCAGCATGGCCGGAGAATCGGTGTGTTGGTGCGCGCCCGGGATCCAACCCGGGCCGCCAGCAGCGGAGCGTGAGCACGTAACCGCTAAGCCACAGGGCCGGCCCTCTGGCGTTTTAAAACCAGAACTCTTAAATAACCTTTCCTTATTTCTGAGCAGCACTGTCCTATAGAAGTTGCTTGTCACAATGATGACACTAAGACATGTCAGAAACCCAAGGTAGGGCCAGGACCAATCTTCCTCAGGAAAAAAGAGGAGAATTGGCATCTGATGTTAGCTCAGGGCTGATCTTCTTAACACACACACAAAAAGCAACCCAAGGCACTTCTCAGCAGAGAGCTGTGGTTTTGTTCAGTTAGTGTGGTGCCCTAAAGAGCCCTGGGCTTGAAAGGACCCAAGGGCTCTTACAATAGCTTGGGTTCTAGTCTCACCTCCCCTGTAACATACTGTGTGGTTTTAGTCTATCATTAACCTGGGTGGTACCTAAGGTCTCTTCTAGTATAAACAGGCTATGATTGTAGTTTTTATATTCAAGCTGATTTTCTGTTTCTTCAAAATTAATAATGCATAGATGGTGTATATGGCAGTCCTGGGTTAAACATACGGGTTAACCATTCCTTCACCACTCCTAATATTTTACTGTATTCATTATACCTTAGAAAAGTGCTTACTATAGAAATTGGTCCCTACTTTGTGAAAGGAATAAATGAAGCAATGTATTTGAGAACTGTGCTTCTCAGCCCTTGTAATACTTAGCCTCCTTAAATGAACATAAATGTTATCAACCTAGCCAGTACACCCTTCATCATCCTCCACGTTAGGAAAAATAGTAGCGTAGTGGTTTAAGAATTCCTACTAGTTCTCTGACCTCAGTCTGCTACTTACCTTCTCTAATCAATTTTTCTTTAATCTGTGAAATGAGAATAATAGTATGTTGTTAAAGATTGTTGAAGAGACAATAAGGTAATGCAGATGAAGTTAGCTATTATAATTATATATCACTACCCTTACTACATCAGCCACAAAGATTTATCTAGCTTATTTTCTATGGTTTTAATTTAAATAATCTTTTTTCAGAATATTACATTATTAATATTTCTTTTTCAAACTACACATGCCTTCTCTATCTACCTGCCATTGAGAATCTCATCTTTCTGAAAAACATACTAGCTCCTATGAAAGTCTGGTCTTGGGCCGGCCCCGTGGCTTAGTGGTTAAGTGCACACGCTCCGCTGCTGGCGGCACGGGTTCAGATCCCAGGCGTGCACCGACGCACTGCTTCTCCGACCATGCTGAGGCTGCGTCACACACATACAGCAACTAGAAGGATGTGCAACTATGACATACAACTATCTACTGGGGCTTTGGGGAAAAAAAGGAGGAGGATTGGCACTAGATGTTAGCTCAGAGCCAGTCTTCCTCACCAAAAAAAGAGGAGGATTAGCATGGATGTTAGCTCAGGGCTGATCTTCCTCACCAAAAAAAAAAAAAAAAAGAAAGTCTGGTCTTTGTTGCCATTGGACCTATAAACCATGAGTAGTGAAGTTAGCTGTTGTTTCCTATATGATATAATGTTTTAAATGTCTTTGTAATATTATCTAACAGGCTGGTTATAAGAAAAAATTGTGGAAAAAGACGACTGCAAGAAAAAGACGCTTGAGGGAATTTGTGTTCTGCAATAAAACCCAGAGTAAGCTCTTAGATAAAATGACAACATCTTTCTGGAAGAGGCGAAACTGGTACGCTGATGATCCTTATCAGAAGTATCATGATCGAACAAACCTGAAAGTATAGATCAGAACTTTTATGATTTCCGTTACCGAATATGTATCTTTGTGTATATGATGTCTTTGCAAAAATGAAATAGTATAAAACTTGATGTAAATTGTACCCACTGATACGGAAACATACAGTACCAACATTAAAGTTTTAAAACTTAATGGATTAAACATTCCCAGATTTGTTCAGGGAAATAGAAGTTTAAAATTGTAGATTATTTTTAACAAATGGTAATGGCTTAACTACTTGTTCCAATTAGGCTTATTTAGTTGCAAGGAATCTCAAGTTAGGACAGATATAAAAGACTGTATCACTAACAAGTTAGCTCAAGCAGTGTGACATTATTTTAAGCATATGTGCCTGGGAACTCAGGAACCACCTCACCACCCCCATGTCCCACCCAGAACTAACCCCCTGGCCTCAGGAAGAGCAGAAGTTATATGGTGAGCCTAGATCTGAGGCACCTCCAGGGGCCTCAGCAGCAGGAAATGGTGGGTCTTTATGCTTGAGGTGTGCCATGCACATGGCTCAGTTCTTTTTACATTGCTGGCTCCATTCTCTCTCTACTCACCAACTTCTCTGATTCACAGCTTTGCTTACTCTTGATTTCTGCTGCCTCATAATAACTCTAGCTTGCACCTTTGAGGTTCTTTTCTACATCATGACCCTTAGCTCCTATCTCCAATCTCTAATTGCCAAGAGACTGTAACTGGGCCAGCTTACCTTTTTATACCAGGTCTCATCAGGGGTCACTGACCAGTGTAGAAATTGGCTCTTCTTAGGTCAGAAGCCCACCCTGGCCTACTTGGTTGTATTACCAGGTTTGCGTGGAACAAAAAATAGTTATGTGAGCAGTTTCACTTAGAGGTGAGCATGGGGTGGCAACACACATCTAGTTATCCAAGGTTCATTGTGTTCATAACAGTTCTCACTTAGTTTTTTAGAACAGGCTTTTTTATAGAGAGAAGAGTAAATGAAATAGCGTTTCATGAAGTATGCCCATTCATGAAACAGAAGAGGCTATACAAATGAAGACAAAACTTTTTACCCAAGAGTTGAAAGATACTGTATTTTTTTAAAGTTTGTTTATCCTCTTGAGATTTCATATTTTTAATTGTGAGGGTAAACTTCTTCCAAAATTTTCCAAAGACAACATTGTAGAAACTACGGAAGAAAAAGTCACCTCAATCATTTGAGAAATGATGTGAGTTAAGCATTGTTCGCTTGAAGAGGGACAGGTGAGAGGCACTGAGGAAAATTCAGTTGACTAAGTGATTCTAGTCTAGGGTAGTGGTTCTCAGCTCTCCCACCAGAATTATCTGGGAAGCATTTTCAAATAACAGAGCACTTTGCCTGGTTGAAAAACCACCATTAAGTAAAATTATATCTCAACTACTGCTTCAAATCCTTTAATATAATAGTTGATGATGATAAGATGAAGTTCCTCTATTGTTAATAGCATAAGATAAAAGATAACCAAAGTGAAATTCTGTGGCTTGTCAACTAGGATTGTTTGAGGAATTCCTTGAAACGAGTGTGTGTTCATTAAAAGGAAAAGGGGTGACAATAGAGTGTTCTAAAACTAGAAGGTCAAGTGTGTTCCTGTTTATGGGACCGATTAATAAAGAACAGACATTTGATTTGAGATGCAGTAAGAGCCTAAAGCATGGAATGGCATTCTGTTTTGATGGGTTTTCATTTCCTCATACTTCTGAGATGGCAGAAGCCAACCAGTTATTAGGCTTCCACATCATTTCTCACCTGTGTGGCTCTTGCCCTCTCTCACTGACCCCTGGTAGCAGATGGAACTGATGCCTGAAGAAGTTGAGGAGGAAGACACTTTCCCACTGCCTTCATGACTTCTCTAGTGCAAATATGGACAACAAGGGTCTCTGTGACAGGGGCCTCAGGCACCTTGGTTTCTCCTCTAGGCCAGGGACAGGTGAGGTAGAAACAAGGACCAGCAACCAGGCCTCGGCATCCCGAGCTGGACTGCAGTGGAAGGGCTGACGGGTACATGAGTTAGGGGAAAGGGAATTTTCATTTATATGATTTTTGAAGATTTTTTTTTTTTTTTTTTTTTTTTTTTTATTCAGTTTTTCCCCCCAAAGCCCCAGTAGACAGTTGTATGTCATAGGTTCACATCCTTCTAGTTGCTGTACGTGGGACCCGGCCTCACGTTGGACGGAGAAGCGGTGCCTCCGGGCGCGCCCGGGATCCGAACCCGGGCCGCCAGCATCAGAGCGCACGCACCTAACCGCTAAGCCACGGAGCCGGCCCTATATGATTTTTGTTTTGTGGGTAGCAAGGCTTATCATCAACACTGATATTACAGTTTGACAACAACACATCTTTCATTAAATTAAAGGGTCTACCCAAATGACACTCAGGTATATGTAAAAGTATAATAAGTTATTAAACACCTACTATGCCCAGCATGGGGATGAGCATGTCTGTACAAAACTGCTAATCCTCATACTAACCTTGCAAAGGAGATATTATTTATCCCTAGTTTAGATTTGAGGAAACTAAGGCTTATAGAAGGTTAAGTAAACCTTATATAGCTAACAAGTCACAGAACCCAGGTCTGAAACCTTGGAAACCTGTGTATTTCTCTGAGTCTTCTAACAACATATGAAAATTCATATCTAAATCAACAAGTGACTGTAACCCAGCACTATAAATACTAAATACTTCTGGACACTGTACCAAGTCCGCTTTTAAATTTTATAACTTTGCTTTTCTGTTATTTGTCAGCTCTTAACCCGGTTAATCTCAGTTCTGTTGACATTAAACTTGGCTCAGTAAGTGAATAAATTAATGGATTTTCAGCCTTTCTTTCCATCTCGTCTTCTTTCTTCCAGTCCTCTGAATCTGCTTCTTTACCTGCTGCTGCCTTATTTTACAGTTCTCATGTCAAGCATGTAGAATATAGGACTATAAAGGTAAAGAAAATGAGTGCTTCATTTCGATGTTGCAAATTTTGAGTTTCCAAGTCTTTGTGACCAGCCGATGAAGCTTACGTGTGCCTGTTCAGATGTTAAAGGCAAGGGCTGCAGCCATGTGAAGGGCGTCCGTACTGCCCAGTGCACCTCCACATGCACCACCCTCTTCTGACCTGCACGCATACTCTTCCATTTGCTGATGAGGAAACAGGTTCCAAGAAGGAAAAGGATGCACCAAAGATCTGTTTGCAGAATTAAAACTGCCTACCAGATAAACTACTCTATTTTCACAGCTACCCGGTTTCCACTGGTGACCTTTGTAAAACAAACAGCCTACCAGATCTGTATTTATGTGCTCAACTAGTTTTCAAAACCCTGATATCATTTAATTTTTTTTCCTCGCAACAATTCTTTGCAGTAGGCTTGGGGCCAAGTCATCAGGCACCAAGCCAGTTTGTGGCTGAGCATTCAGCTTCTAATCCTTGCTATGTCCATATTTTTTTTAAGTATTTTTTTTTTCCACATAAGCCCAACATTACATAGATGTTTTTTAAAAGAAAAATGTTAAGACTTTATTCAAGATATATATCAGGCATTGTAACAAAACAGCAGAACTTCAACCTTTGGAATACTGTAATTTTACATCCCTTTGATGCACAGTCCAGTATACTATTTTATTACAGATCGTTTTATAGGGCCTACAGAAATAAACTAGGGGAAATATGCACAGTCACAATCGAGGATGTCAGCTCTTTGAGTGTGTGCTGTCTGAGAATGAAGCACATCCTTTACCATTTCAAATACTGTGCAAGGTGAAGAACTAGGAAGGTGCTCAATGGTGGGCATGGTTGACAAGCACTGTTATCACAAACACATGGACAGTTTACTACAGAGAACACACGTTTCAAAGGCCAGCGAAGTGAGCAAGCTATTCACACAAAGCCAGGAGGGACTAAACTCTCCAGTTTATAAATACAACACCACATCTCACCTCCTCAGAAACAGAACAGGTGCTCAATGGCAAATAATCAAAAGTTAATGCATGAAAATCACAGACTTTCAAGCTAGCATTTTGTAAACAGCCTGTGTCTGTAAATCAGCAAATTAAAAACATTCAATTATATCCTCTAGACAGAATACCACACCACTATGTATACACTTGGAGGCATTCACATTTTATATCAGTCCATACACAAATATACAGCTTGTTGGATAAGTAAACACATTTTGCCAGAAATATGACAGCTGCTCTCAGTTGTACAGTGAGTGTTTTTAAGAGAGAAACCAACTCCCTAATCAACACTTGAAGGAAAAATAGTTACATTTACATTAAGACAGCAGTTTGGATACCTTTATATTTTTAAAATCTTGAATGAGCAGTAATACAGCATGTCTGAGAGTAGAGTGCTTCAAACTTGTTTTTGGCATAGTTGAGTGCAAACTTGATAGCCTATACTGCTAATATTTTCCATTGTAAAATGGTGAAAATATAGCTTGTTGACAATAGGATTTTTTTTTTTTTTTAAAGATTTTATTTATTTATTTTTCCCCCAAAGCCCCAGTACATAGTTGTCTGTCATAGCTGCACATCCTTCTAGTTGCTGTATGTGGGACGCGGCCTCAGCATGGCCGGAGGAGTGGTGCCTCGGTGCGCGCCCGGGATCCGAACCCGGGCCGCCGGCAGCGGAGAGCACGCACTTAACCGCTAAGCCACGGGGCCGGCCCAACACAATAGGATTTTAATCTCTGCTGCTAAAGGCATTTATTATTTTGGCAAAAAGTTGCTAAAAAGCTGCTTAAGTTTTTTCTGCACTTGTTTCTGATAATTCTGGGTACTCCCAACTAAACAGGTAAATATGTTTTAAAGTGTATATTTTTCCTCTCAAACCATTCGGTGAGCTTGAAGCAAACAGATTTTCTGTCTTCCTTAAGGGGTTTAGGTATTGGTGGGTGTGGGGCACAGACAACGAACACACAGCCTCTATTTGCCCTCTGAACCACAAATTTGCTTTTAGATTTATTTTCCTAAATCCTTTTGTAAATTACAAAGTCACCTTCAGAGGAATTGGGGGAAGAAGAGATTTAATTATGCATATCTAGTAACAATCAACTTCAAGTAAAACCCTTTCTGAAGTGGCTAAGATCCAGCCAACATGTCATCAGCAGAGACCACCGGTGTATGTTTGTGTAGCTCAGTAATGGAACAGTCTAACTGGGCCTGTTTACAGCTGGTTGACAGTAAGTTCTACGTGGTACGTAACACTAACTCTCTAGTCTTCAGGGCATATCTATGAACAAACACAATCCAAGTATTATAAGTAACTGGGTTGTGACCACTGCATGCATTACACTGAAAGAAAACACCAACTCTAAGCACAAAAATACGAGTCCTACATTTAGGCTCAACTCTACAAGGAGAGAGCAGCTACCTCGGACCCAAATGCTATTTAAACCAGATTTGTCTTTTCAGATAAAATTCTCAATCTACGCAGGGAGTCCCCTCAGATAGTGCTTGATTCTCCTACTAACTGATCTGGGCTTGTATACAATGTCACTTAAGACCTGGAGTGCCTGTGAGCTTGCGACTTCTCTCTTGTTCACATTCTGCACAAGCCAGGAAGGGAACAGGAGGGCGTGAGCCACAGCTGCCCATGGAGCTGAGCAGCAAGTCATATCCTTAAAGATCTCAATCTCTGAAACCTTCCTAGAACCCAGCGTTTTGATTGTTACACATGTGTCTCAGATGTATTTTATAGCACATCTGAAAAAAAGCACAGTCCTAGGTTTGGTTTTGTTTTGGTTGATGGGTTGGTGTTTGCTTAGTGTTCTCTAAACCAAGGTGCTCAGACTGTAGGCTCCTCCACCTTGAGAAAAATCACAGCACTGGTTACCATGAAGGAGAAATAGTCATTCGGCAAGCACTTCTGAAGCACTCAAATGACTCCTCACAACTGCTGAGTCCACATCCCCCAAGAAGTTTCATCAAGGGTGACCACCTGCCTCAGGCAATGGTAAATCTCCCAAAGGATTCAGAGGCTCCTAATCCTGAATCCAAAAGGGAGACAAGCTTTCCGTGACTCTTCTCTTATTCTAGACTGTTCTCCTGACCTTATTACACTCCTCTCTGTCACTAAAATACTGTTTTTCTTCATTCTAAACTTTTCTGTATATTGACTAAACAACTGTCTGAAGACATGGACCATCATCCTGCAGGAAAAGGGATGTTTTACTGGAGTTGTATTTGGAAGCTTTATAAGCACGTCTGAGACATTCTCTAGAATCAAAAAATTTTTTACACTTCTGTTTTTGCAGTTGTCTTACATATCAGAACCTCTGGCAGCCCTTGCGAGTCCATTAGTTTAAGCCAAAAGCCATAAGTATGTACATTGTAGTCCAAAGTATTAGTACCAAGAACAAAAAAAGTTTTAAAAAATTGCTTTGTTTGCATTTACAGGACTAAAAACAAAGTATGCAACAAATAAATTACAAATGTACATCTCAGAAGTGTGTAGGGGGGATCCTCTTACCGTGCTAAAAACACACTGCTGTCTAATGACAACCCAACTGGAAAAGTGTTAACCTCAGAAGACTTAAAGATCACCCCCCACACACACTACCTTTCCCGTTAGCCTCTCCCCAGCAAAATAAAGAGAAGGGGGAAAAAATCTTGGAAGAGGGGAGAGAGAAAAGGCCGTGTCTGTGAGGTTGCACACACAAAGCACACCAGCTTGCGGATTTCTATGTTATTAGTGAGTAGCTCTTTAAGGCAGAGAACAAACATTCTGTGGATCCGTTGCTGTTGGCTCATCTCACTCACGTGGTTTCAGTGGCCAAGGATGAGGTACTTTTCTTCCTGAAGCGAGATCGAAGGATTCTAGGCGGTGCCTGGTAGAAAAAACAGAAAAAGGCATCCCTTAATTTGGCATAAACGAATCTTTTGAGGACAGCACCTAGATGGTTTATGTTGAGACCTCCAGCTCCTTTGGCCAAATGCACGTGTGTGAGGCAGATGGCTGGGGCTGGGGGCTCACTGAGTTTCCACAACAGGAATCAGATTCACATCCCAAGCATCCGTGAAGCTGAGCCAATTGAGAAGGCCACTGCCTTCCTCTTCATGCTCTCCTAAGTCTCTGGATGTCCCAAGCAAATGGTTGCGCAGAAGGATGACACATCTTGTTTCTGCCTTGGGAGCAAGATGATCTTAACAAGTGACTCAGCAGAGAAAAATGCCTCCCCATCTCTTCCCTTGTCTGATGTTTCTTGGCACTTACTTAAAATTTCCATCACCAAATTTCCCATCCTCTTTCTGGATGTGAAATCCCTTAATACACAGAATATCACACAACAAAGGGAAACATTGTCTTTAAGTATAAAGAAGTTCCATCTCATCTCCCCTACAATTGACTATCAAGGGAACCCTCCTTCCATGGTACCCATATATCAGAAGAGGAGTTACTATTACAGTGAAAGAAGGAAAATGTTTTCTCCTAGCATAGTACTCAAGGGGGTTCACACAACTGGCCCCAACCTACCTTCAACCCGTCTCTGTCCACTTCCCTGTACTTAATTTACGTTTCCACACTGCCTTTCACACCTGTGTTCCTTCTGACTGGAAGCTCTTCCTTCCTCCCTTCTCTGTCTTGCTATTTCTAGTCCTCTTTAGGACCTAGCTCAAAAGTCACTCCTGAGCCCCTCTCCCCATGGGCCAGTCACACACAACCGGGGTTGTCACCCCCTTTGTTTTTTTTTTTTTTGGCAGAGTCACCCTGAGCTAACATCTGTTGCCAATCTTCCTCTTTCCTGTTTTTTTTCCCCTCCCCAAAGCCCCAGTGCATAGTTGTATATCCTAGTTGTAAGTCCTTCTGGTTCTTCTATTTGAGCCACTGCCTAGGCATGGCAACTGACAGACAAGTGGTGTGGTTCTGTGCCTGGGACTGGACCCCAGGCCGCCGAAGCAGTGAGAGGGCTGAACGTTAACCACTAGGCCATCAGAGCTTAACCTCCTTTGTTTTCATAGTGTTTTGCACATGAGAGGACATCAGAAGACTTTGCACCCACGGGAGAGTGTGCTTGCTCACTGTCTCCCCCGCCACACTGTGAACTTCCTGAGGGCAGGTCCCTGTTCACCACCCTTTCCCAAAGAGTAGCTCAGTGCCTAGCAGGCACACAGAAGGGAGGGGGAGGGAACAAAGTCGGGAACAGAAGACTCAAACCTTCCGCATCTTGAGTCCTCACACTATACCTTTATGACTAGGAAATGTTTACCAGCCACCTCTGGACAGAGGGTAAAAACAGAATCAGTGAAGTCTGTGTTTTAGTAACCTGCCTCAGGCTGTTTAACAGTAAGTAGTAAGGCAGCTTGTGCAACTTTAAAAAACAAAACCAAAACGGCACAAACCCTCAGGCCCTAGAATGTTTCTGGCACAAACCCTCAGGTCCTAGGGTATTTTTGGCACAAACCTTCAGGCCCTAGGATGTTTTGGGCACCTTCCCTGCTCTCTGGATAGGGCCCCTCTCTCCATCAAGGGGCTGCCCAGGCTGTAATGGACTCCTCAAGCAGTGTCCAAACCCAGAACATCTTTAATCAAAACCTCAAACTTCAAAATTGACCCACGTGTGCCCCACCTTGGAAAGGAATCTGATGAACTCATGCATACTGCAGTGGTAATAATTGCGGTCCTAGCATGAATAGGGGCCACAGGCCATTGTGTTTGAGTAGGGGAACCTTTCAATGCATTTCCTCATCTGAGTCTCATGGGGTCTCTACTCTATGGACAAGGGACTCCCAACTTGCCTCAGATGGATTCTCAGGCCGCAGTATTCAGCAGATGGGGAATAGGAGACGTCAGTGAGGAGGCGAGAGGAAGACTCTGGGGTCATCCAATTCTTCTGGCCCTGCCCCTGAGCCGGAGGCTGGTGACTCCCTACCCACATCACAGAGCAAGGCCCATGAGACTCTAGGCTTGGCCCTCCTGCCGCCAAAACTCCATCCACATCTACAACTGGCAGTAGTACGTATATCAAGTGTATTGTTTCGGTCATTTTAAAGGGCTGTGCCCCGTTAAGAACATTTTATGAATACCTACTTTGTACCAGGTACGATGCTGTATCTTGGAGATACAGTAATGAACAAGCTTTATTTATAAAAACTTGTCAAATAACACAGTCTGAGTTTTTCTTCCCACAAAACACTCCTTTGGGTTGCTTTCACTCACATATCTCAGGTTAGTAGTTGTTAATTTTTTGTTTTTGTTTTTTTTAATTTTAGACACTATATCTCCTCTCCTATTTCTAAGTAAAGTTAGTAGGGTCTTTTTTGCCCCTTGGCAAGTAGCTAGATGCTACCTAGTGGCTTGTCCTACCTGTTTGATGGAGGGAGATATTCCCACCCCAGGCACTCGGGAGATGCTGGGTGCCTCAACAGATGCAGCTCCCAGGACCCGCAGATCTCCCGGGCAAAGCCCTTGTGCAAACACATGCTCCAACCCACAGCCCCAGACACCGTGTACCTCCAGGGGGAACTCCGTCTTTCGAGGGGCCTTATACTTGTACATGAAATCCAGCAGGTCTTCCTCCTCTTCCTCCTCATCAGAAAACGCCAATGGGTTTTGGACCTGGTGGGGCTCCCATGCCTTCACACCACCCTCATTCACATCTCCCTCAACCACTTAATGTCCATTTACATCTACACAGAGGAGACAAAGTACAGCGAGGAGGGATCAGTGTAGAAAGGAGCAAGGAAGGGTAGGCACAGGCACGGTTAGGCACACAGCACGACAAGCCAGGCCTGTTAGGACAGCCGAGGGCCCTGTGTCCGAAGCAGCAGCCAGCATCCTCTGGGGATACTGCAGGGGATCCGGGATTGTGAGGGCGCAGCTGTGAGACTGGTCAGGCACTGTGCACAGGAACAACAGGCTGCGGAATCTACCGATAGGCTACCCAGTGAGGTGAGGGCACCGTTTTCCCTGGGAGAAGAAAGACACTGCCTTAACTGTCAAACCGTGCAGCTTAGACCTGTGATGCCAATCAGAAAGAATCTCCTCCAGAAAGGGTACTGGTAGTGATTTCAAGAGGGGAATAGCAGTTTTCTACATTATACACACAAGCAATGTTGACAGTGCATTACACTTGCATATTCAGCTCCAAGCATTCTTTAAGAGACAGGATGTAAAATGCCAGGAAGCCTTCAGAGAGAACCTTAAGCAAAACTACATTGATTTTTCATTTCAAAGGTCAAGTCCTCGAGAAGCAAAGGAGCCCAGTGGGAGGAGAATCTAGTAGTAGCCTTCCCCTCAAAAATGACAGTGAGATTCCTGTTTTAGTCTGCCTTGACTAATCCCCAGGAAAAGCTCCAGGACTAATTCATGCCACTGAATGCATATTATTTTTTAAATGTTCAATGCTGAGCATATTCCATGTCATCTGGCCAGGTGGTCCTATTTTAGTTGAGATATAAAATATTTCCTGCCCATACCTGGCTTATCTGACACCCATAGATCCATCTTTCTACGCTTCATATATTGTTTTTACCCAGAATAACAATGCAAAGCTAGGGGGCCCTCAGACCACCTGGTCTAACCACCCAGAGGCCTGCAGATAGAAACCAGAGCTCTTTATCCTTCTACTGCTCCTAAAAACATGTTCAGCCACCAAATGTGTTCCCTCCCTCAAAAGGGGACTCGCTGGACTATGACAGCACCAGATATGGATTGAAACTAACAACGGAACCCTGATCTTGAGCAGCTTTCCTAGTTGCTGCTGTGCTCCCCAACAGCCAGCAGGAGGCAGCACGAGAGCACAGTTGTCTTAACCAAGAATTTCAGCGCTGAATTGTAGGCTGGGAGTGAGCAGCTCAGACAGAGCCCTAGAAAGAACCGAGCCAGAGATGATTAAGCTTCCTTTGATTTTTTTGCTCTCTGCATCCCCTAGCCTGTTTACTCCAGGTTTAGGTTGTCCTCTGGTCCCTTCCCCTGCCCGAATCAGCTGCACGCTTAGGACTCTGTCGAACACGAAGACTGGCAACTCCAAGGAGGGCTCCCTGAATACTCTGGCCCTCGCTGGGCTCCCCACTCCATGACCCCAACTGCACTTGGAATCTACTGCACAGCTTGTACCGTGTGCCCTGATTCTCACGTCAGTCTCATTGCCTGAGCCCAACAGAAAGCATCCTGAGCTTAAGGGACCACAGCTGATCCTCCCTCGGTCTCTCTGAGCACCTGACCCAGGGCAGAGCACACAGTGGTCACTCGCCCACTAAACGAGGTGGAATACTCACATCGTCTCAGAGAGCTCAGCTCTTTCCCAAATCAGAACTCGACACCCATCTACGAGGAAACTCCTTCTGCCCACACATACCTCCTGCCTGACAGGACGAACAAGAGACAGGCCTACCCAGGACCAAAAGCCCTTAGACCAAGACACTGCAGAAGCAGCCTGGCCAGCTCCACCCCAGCACAGAACCCCGCATCCTGGAAGCAGGCTTGGGGATAGTTTGAGTCCGTGCCTCTGCGCATGCAGTTCTCTCTAAATCTGGATCCAGGGCTTTCCCCGTGCTGATCACTCTGGGGTTCAGGAGGCAGCCCAGAGTCACCACAAGATCCTCAAGGATCTAACAAGTCAACTTACTCACCCAGTCTGAATTCACTGAGACGGAGCAACGAACTCACACATTACCAAATTAATAATAATAATAACTACCACCACTACCTCAGGACTGAAACCAAAGGGCTTTGAGTTTGTTCTCCACTGCATCCTTGAGCATGCACTAAAGGGCAGGAAAGAAGTGACCCTCTGGCCTAGTAGGAGTGATGGATCAAGGGGCGCCCAGATATCCAGGCAGGAATGGAAAACAAGCGTTCAACTCAGCAGAGGCTGGGAGCAAAGGAGGCTAGTGTGGGCAGCCCGGAGGGCTGGAAGTAGCCTTAGATGGAAGCCACAGAGAGAACCTACTAAAAAAGAGAAGAACCCTGCTGGTCACCGTGTTCACTGAGGGTTTTTGCCAAGAATGTTGTCATCATATTCTGCCTTACTCTCGGGACCCGTGAGAAAAAACATTCTGGACAAGCTGGGCCTCTGAGCCTCTGGTTGGCTCTTTTGTTGTGACATCGAATCTCTCACCTGCATTTCCCTCTTTGCAGTGGCTGCATGGCAGCCCAGCATCTTTGGCAGTCTACAACTTTATGGCATGCATTTAAAATTTTCTTTTCACCTCTGACTCCATCTTACCTGCCTACTATTCCCTTTCCCTCAAGCTTCATTTTTCTTACTTTGGTTTGATATATCATCTATATTTCCACAAGTAGACTTAAATCCTTTTTGGAATAGGGAGTAGTATAAATGAAGAAATAAACCCCACAGAACATGGTCCCACCAAGAGAGGCACCAGGACAAAAATGAGGATGCGTGGCTGGGCAGAAAATTCAGGGGTGTACCTCCTCAGCACTCTTCTCCTTGCAGATCTAACTAGAATGTGTGACTCAATGGGCCCTCACCCCAGATAATAGGCCTAAAAGGGTATTGCTGTCCACATCTTAATACTCTGATCACTCCAGGGAGAACTTGTTTGGGAGGAGGGTCTCTCATGCAAAGTCGTGGCTACAACCACCACCTCCAAACCTCAGGTGACTGCAGCCAAGGCCTTGAGCCCACAGAGCTGCCACCATGGTGCCCAAGGCTGAGTGGCCTCTAGGAAAGGGCAGGGGTCCTGCTGTCTTCCACAGCAGGGGAATGAGTCTGCGGCTTTGGCTGACATTCTGAATTAGCAAATGTGTCAGTGGGACTACAGCAGGCTGGGGAGCGGCCTCACCTCTTCCCTCTGTGGGGAGGGCAGGGAGGGAGAAACTGGCAGAGACTCTGAGCCCTTAAAGGCTCAAGGAGATCGTCTACACGGAGCCCTAGGTCTCCCCACTCCCCTGTACAGCAGAACAACCCCCAGGTTAGCAAACACATCACACACAGCACACATTAGCAGGAGCCGTTAATGGAAGACAGCAAACGTGTCTGAAGAAGAGCACGCCCATCTGGAACACTTACATCCGCGTCCCCGACAGCCACCGAGGAGAAAGAAAAGAATATTCTGTTAGGGAAGGGTCTTTGGAAATGAAACTCACACACATGTGCAAGCACGCGTGCACACGTACACACACTTCCCACACGCTAAACCTCTGACAGCTGCTGCTGCTGGCAGAGGAAAGACACTGCCCCAGGGCCACACACAAGGAAGACGCAATTCTCTCTCTCTCTCCCCCCTTTAATAGAGAAGGTACATAGGGATGACTTTGCTTTTTAAAATGATGTCTCACACATTTGATCAAAAAAAAAAAGGAAGGAAAAAACCCACCTCTATGACTAATTCCAAGCAGTAATACGGTGTTCAGTTCTATGTTACATCAGGGGAGGTAGAGAGAAAAGAGGGGAGAAAGGGCGGCAGGGACGAGAGGAAGAGAATAATAGAAACACAGCGAGAGTCAGAGAGATGCAGGAAGCAATAGGGAATCGACTGACAGAGGGGCAGGAATGGGGCAGCAGTGGGGAGAGAATGCTCTCCTGGGATCTGAAATGCAGATGAAAACCATTTCAGGGGACCCGGAGGGCCCCTCTGAACAAAGCGTCTGTGACCCCTGAAATCCTCTCTCATGGCGTCGCTGCCCGAGAGCTGGCCTCCAGCCCCGGGTGCGGGACAAACCCCCCCCAACAGCATCTGCGGATACTCCCCAACCCAGCACCCTTCACTGGCAAAGCCGGGCGGAGCTGGCAGGGCCCCAGGGGCACCTAGCCCAACCCCACCACATTACAGAGGAGTGGACTGAGGCCTCAAGCGGGGGGACTTTCCCACCAACACACAAGGAAATGGTGTAGATGAATCATCAGCTGGTTCCTTGCAAGTAGACCAGGGTGGCGGGGGTGGGAGGGGGTGGGAATTCCAGGGGACTGGGGGTTAAGAGGGTCCTAGAAAGGAAGGGCTGGGGCAGAGGGCCCCAGATCATGACTCTGAGCAGGGCCACTCCAGCCTGAGGCCTTCACCGAGCCCCACCTACTGCCCACATCCCAACAACCCCCCAGCTCCGCAGCTCCCAGGGAGAACAAACTACTGGATTCCTACCATCAACTGCAATTATATTTAAATGCACTGGAAATGCAGCCTCTGATTATGAAACCACCAGGTGTCACGGGAGGTGAGGGCTTCCCAGAGAGCTGCACAGAGCATCCCATGAGGAAAGAACAGAGAAGGCAGCTTTACTCTCCCTGGTCCCCCAAGTGACAGTATCTCAGAATTAGAGGCTTTCTGAATGGCTCAGGGAATTTACAAACTCAGAATTTTAAAGGGTGACTAGATAGAAATAACCACAGTCATCTGAGGCCACTGGGACTGGTGGTTGTTTCCCATGAACTAGTCCATCCACCAGCCCCCAGTGTTAGCCCCTAGCACTGGACACAGCTGCCTGCAGCCTGAAGCCCCTCCGTTTCTCTCTTTCTTTTTATTGAGATATAATTGTCATATAACATTGTATTAGTTTTAGGCGTACAACATTATGATTTCATATATATATATATATATATATATATATATATATATATATATATATATATATATATATATATAGTAAGTCCTTCTGTTCCTGATGTGGACTGGGAGGCCTCGAGGGACCTGGTTAGAGTCCAAGCCAGGGTAGGACGCTGTTCTCCACTGTCCCCCTGCTCAGGACTCCTATGACTGTCAGTTCATATTGGGCTTACGGCCTCCAAAACCCCCAGGTCTTCTATGGACCTTAAAAAAGCTTAGCGTTGAGAAGCCTTAAAAATTAAGAAATGGAAGGAAAACAGAAAACTTCTAATAACCCAGTGTCATGTCCTCCTGCTCTCCACAGAGGTGGGAGGGACACGCCACGCCTCAGCGGCACCAGAGCTGGTGGCACAGGCAATAACCAGCACCATGTGTGCCTTCCTCCTCCCCTCACACGAGCCAGCAGCTGCGGGCCAGGGGCGGGCCCTGTTGCCTTCTGAGCCAAAGGCAGCTCCTCCACAGGGGTGAAAAGGGAGCTGGGTTAGTCCAGCACCATCTCTCATCCCCTAGGTGTCTAGTTAAGGTTAGGGAAACAGCAGGAGCAGGTCAGGAGAGAACAATATGGCCAACCGTGGGGTGTCCATGTTCTCCCTTCACACACAGGGAGGGCAGCAACAGGACTGTCCAGGACTGGGAAACCCCAGGCTCATCCCCTCTCCCTAAGGTTTCCTGGCTGCTTTGGGCTATTATCGTCGTCATCGTCATCATCATCATCATCCTTCTTAAAGCCTCACGCAGCCATTTTCACAACAGCAGTGAGGTGGGGAAGCAGGGATCTTTATCTCTATGTTAAGACGAGGAAGCCAGGGCTCTGAGTGGTTAGGAGAGTCACCACAGTCACACAGCTGGTAAGTAAGCAGCAAAGCAGCACAGGCTCCCTTGGCTGCAGCAGGACCAAAACCCTTGGACCTCCAGGGCTTCGTCACCTCAGAGGACCTGGGTCAGTGCCTGTGTCATTGCCAGAGCACAAGGGAATACGACCTTGGGGTGGTTGTAAAGTATCTCCACACGTTCTGTGATCCTCCTCTTTTTTGTGTGTGTGTGAGGAAGATCGGCCCTGAGCTAACATCTGCCAATCCTCCTCTTTTTGCTGAGGAAGACTGGCCCTGGGCTAACATCCGTGCCCGTCTTCCTCCACTTTATACGGGACACCCCCACAGCATGGCTTGACGAGGGGTGCGTTGGTGTACGCCCAGGATCCGAACCAGCGAACCCCTGGCTGCCGCAGTGGAGCGCGCGCACTTAACCACCTGCGCCACCGGGCCGGCCCCCGATACTCCTCTTTTCAAGAGGCGGAGATCAATTCTCCTCCCCTTGAGTGTGGGCTGGACTTAATGACTCACTCCCACAAACAGAATGAGGCAGAAGTGGCGCTGTGTGACTTCAAACACTAGGTCCTAAAAGGTACTATGGCTTCCCGCTTGCCCTCTCTCTCAGATCACTCACTCTGGGCGAAGCCAGCTGCCATGTTGTAAGGAGGCTCAAGCAGCCCCAGAGAGGCCCATGTGGTAAGGACTGAGGCCTGCAGCCAAAAGCCACAAGAGAGCCACCTTCATCCTCCAGGCCCAGTCAAGCCTTCAGATGACTGTAGCTCTGGCCATCATCTTGACTACAACTCTTGAGAGACCCTGCGCCAGAACTACTTGGTTAAGCTGCTCCCAAATTCCTACCCTGCAGACACTGTAAGATAATACATGTTTGCTGTTTTAAGAACTTAACCTCCTGACCCCTCCCCCTAGACGATGCAGCTGAAAGGGAGCCCCGAGGTCAGGCGCCAGCTCACGGTTAGAACCTCCTCCTGAGGTGAGAGTCCAGCATGCTGCAGAGGTTGGCTGCTTACTCACCTTTCCAGGTCCTGCAGCTGGAGCAGCAGGTACATACTGTGGGGACGGGGGCACCATCAGTGATATCCCCCACTCGACAGGAACCAGCCCCAGGCAAACAGGGAGGCCCCAGTGAGGTGTGGGGTCCCAGTGTGTTCAATATAGGGGTCCCAGGAATGTGGGTCTCTGTAGAGATGCCAAGGTGGGGGAGGGGATCACTTCAGATTCAGCTTCCTCTCCGGTGCTAGAAAATGCCCTTGGCTGGCCCACAGAGGTCAGTCCTTATATCCTGCAGCCCTGGGAAAGGTAGGGGATGGGGTCAAAGTTTCCTGTAGGAAATAACTCCAACCACCCCTGCCCAGATGCCCCTCCTCTCTACGCCTTCCAGTTCAGACTGACCTCTGAAGAGCTTAGTGTCTGGCCATTTGGTTGAAGGCCTAATTGGCTGCCGCCTTGCATGTTCCATTGGTCTTGGTGCTCATCCAGGCCTTGATACACAGTAGGTGCTCACTAAATACGTGCTGAGTGTCTCCAAGTTCACAGACACCAAGGATCATCCTTTCAGCTCCCTTTGTGCCCTTCCTAGGGTCCAGTGCCAGGTTTTCACTAGATGGTGGCTGGCAAAATACCTCCCAGTTCATTCTGTAGGGAGGGCAATGTGTTCTTGCACACTCCATATTGATATTTTGAACAATGGGCATATATTTTTATTTTTACATAACTTGTTACATAGTATCTCATTCTGTTTTGTACTTTTTTCTCTAGGCATCCTGTTTTCAAGATCTACCTGTATGTACACTGAAACTGTTGCTTTTGATGGCTGCATCCAACTCCACGGGATGTACCACCACCTCTTACCTGTCCTCTCCCAGGTTGCCTGCAACTTCTGCCACCTGTCCAGGGTTTGCAAATTATCTTGTTTGCTCTCCTCACAAACCTAAAACGTAGGCTGAATAGGGATTATTGTGCCCTTTTTTCAGAGGAGAAAGCTGAAGGGAATTGGGCTTATCTCCCGTGCTGGAGTGACCACCCAGGCTATCATTCTGAGAAAGGTTCTGAGGCTGAATCTCTGCCCAGTGGGAACCAGTGTGGTGACTGCTCTGTGATGTCTGTCTCGCTGTGCTGCATCTGCTGTCTCTGCACAGGCCCAGCGTCACCCAGCCAGGACGGAAGCCAGAGGCCCTTCCCCTACCCAACCACGCCTGGTGTCCCAGGCCCACACTGGGGGCTGGGAAGGCACGCAGCCCCGTGGAGCTGGGCCTCCTTTGCCAGACTTCCTCCCAGGGTCCCTCACCCTCAACTCAGGGGTTACAACAGCCCCACGGCCTCTGACCCCAGCGCTTTTGCCCCATGCCCAGGCCCCGGGCCACCTTTCACCTGTCTTTCTTTCTGAGATAATTTTTATTTTAGGCCCCAGAACAGCTGGGGCAAGTGCTGCATGGCCCCTGTCCTCCCTGCCGGGTCAGCACCTCCCTCTCTGCCCCCTGAGACCACAGGTGCCGGGGCCAAGGGCGGCCAGTGAGGAGAGCCGTCTCATGTTGCAGCACAGTGGGGGTTCTCCATGAACTCCACCTGCTCGGGCCGGCGACCAGAGCGCTCCCTGCTACCTCCCTGGGGCCTAGCAGAGGACGGCACTGCTAATGGCAGGGCCAGCACCAAAACAAATCATCCCAAAGCCGTTTCTATCTGGTGCTGGTGTGGGAAAATGTTCAAAGCCCAGGAGATGCCTCCCATGGCCTTTCAGATCACACCAGACTTCTCACTTGCCTGGTTCTGAGGCTGCTCTGAATAATCCACCAAGGCGAGATCTAGGCAGGAGGCCTGGATTCTGGTCCTGAGACCTTAACCCAGTGCACAAGCTCTCTGAGCCTACTCCTTCTGCTTGGTTCACCTCTATAATGACAACATAGAATCTTACCGGGAAAGGGACTGTGGGACCACCTAGGCCCACTTCCTAGCCAAAGCAAGAATCCCTCCCTAGAGCCTTGGTACATGATCATTCAACTTTGGTTTGGGCCATTTCAATGTCAGGGATCTCACTACCATACAAGGCAGCCCATTTCTCCCCTGGACACTTTCACGTTATAGAGTGCTTTCATAGGTGAGTTAAACAACAGCAAGAACATTAAGAGCAGCTACTCCACAGAGTGCATGATCCCAGCACTTTTACATGGGTTATTTCATTTGAATCCCACAACAACCCACAAATCGGTATTGTCATTCCCCATGTGCAGATAAGGAATCCAGGGTGTGGAGGGGTAAACAGCTTGCCCAGGTCACACAGTGGTAAGAGGCTACCCCCCTTGAACTTTACCCCAGTGGTTCTCACTCTGCCCTCTGAGCCTCACAGAACTGAGGCGTTTTTCCTTCCAAATGACAGCTTTCACTTGAGGCTTGGTAGCCAGTGAGCTGACCAAGGGTGGAGGCAATACCTAATTCCATTTTGTAACCCTATTTCTGGGCCAGTGCCCAGTAGGTCAGAAGCTGTAGATGCTCAAGGAAACCCGGATGGTCAATGGGTGAGCGAATAGAGGGCACTGGCCCAGGAGTCAGGAGGCCACAGGAGAACGCCACCAGCAGGTGACCCTGGAGACAGTTCCCTTCCCTGGGCCTTTGTCTCTTCATTGGTAAAATCAGACAGTTAGACTGAATGATCCCTGAGGTCCCTTCCTGCCCAGCCTTTTGTGATTCCATTCTAAGTTCCCCTGGGGAGGTTGCCTCAGGAGATACCCCCTCCTTGAGGTGGACCTTCCCCCTATGGCCAAACCTCCCTCTCCCCAACCCTACCAGGGTTAAAACATCTCCCCTCCAATAGAAAAGCCACAATCTTCAAACCTAGAACTGGAGTTAAAGGGATTATTCCAGAGAGGGGAGGAAACTGATGGAGGCCAGGCCTGGCTCGGAGCTGTCTCCTTTGCCTGGCAGCGAGATGAGTCCGCATTCCCAGGGCAGCCCCAGGGCTACTTCTTTCCCATCTATGTCTAAGACCCCCAAAAGTCAGGTGGGATCCCCGGGGCTTGGGGCTGAGGTGCCCCCTGCAGGCTGCACCTCACAGCACACAGTCAGGGTCCAGCTGGCCTGGATGTCCCTGTTTGTACATTTAAGGGCAAGGCAGCTACCAGGCACATGTCACAGCCACCAATTCCAAAAGAGCAGCCCAATTCCCACCCTCAGGTTCAACTCCCCCCAAGGGTGAGGGCAGAGATGGAGACCCAGAATTGTCCCTGCACCCTCTTCGCCATCGACTCTTTGCTGGCAGCAGCAGTGCTCAGCTCCTGAAAGCCAAGGTCCCCGTAATGTCCCCAGGGAATGGTCTGGAAAACCTTGAGTCCTGGGCCAGCTCCCTATCCCTGTAATCCATGCCCCTACCCTCCATAAGCCTGAAACCCACTGACGGATCAGACATCAGTGGGTCACAAACGCGGCTGCACCTCAGCGGCATCACACATCTGGGTCTCACCCCAGTGCTATGAATCCTCTGGGGATGGACCTGGGACTCTGCGTTTAACTAGGACCCCAGGTCAAATCCCCATACAGGCAACCTCTTGCCAGGGATTTGACAACCGGAGGGAGACAGCAGAGGTGAAGGCACAGTTCCTGTAAAGCCCTGGCCTCCACAGGAATTAGACCTCAGAGCTAGTGTGGCCCTGGCCATGTGGTGGCTGAGGGTGTACGTGGTGAATGCGGGCTCAGGGATGGGAGGGGAAGGTAGAGTGAGAGAGAGGATGGGAAATAATTGTGCAGGAAAAAGGGACCATAAGAGCTATAAGCCCCAGGTGGGTGGGAGAAGCCACTGAGGTGCTCAAGACAGGTAAGCCCTCCTGGGAGTGTGGGGTCAGAGAAGAAGAGAACAGAGAAAGCTGCCTTGGCTTTCTTGGGTCCAGCTGTGCCTGTTGCCTCTAGGTTTGGTCCAGGTACTACCACCCGACCACCCCTAACCCCCCAGACAATCAGATGGAGGAGGCAGGACCCTTCGGTGCAGGTGACCTAACCCTGCCCCCCATCAGAGTCTCCAGGCTAGCTTCCTATCCGGGCCTGAGTGGTGCTCTGCCCCTTGGCTGGCCTGGCACGGTCTGATGGACATCTGTGTTGGTGGCAAGTCCACGGGGCAAGGGCCAGGTTACATGCCACCTGGTGGACTGGGCCTGTCTCAATGAAAGTGAGGCCTACGAGGTGGAAAAGAGGGGAAGTGAGGTGACACCTACCTGAGCTGCCAGCGCTCTCAGAAGCACTCCTGGACATCTTAGGCTGGCCATGCTTGCCGCTGGCCCGCCCAGACCCCGGTGGTGGGGGGCCCGAGGGAGCAGGGGCGCCGTCTCCCCTGATGGTGCTGAGGTCCTGCATGCTGAAGCTCCGGAGTCTCTCCGACAAGGCACCTTGTCCCTGGATACAACACAGGAGGGCACCCGTCAGAGGCCTGACCACGGAGCGTGGGCAGTAGTGGGGCACACACGACA